ATGCCTAGCATGGAGCCCGATGTGGACTCCATCTCACGACCCTGAGATCATGACCTGAGCCGAAATCAAGAGTTGGATGCTTAACCGACTGAGCCACCCAGGTACCTCTGGTTTATGAGGTTTAAAGAAAGAAGCCATCTCCATAACATAAAAGAGGAAGATGAAGCAGCAAGTACTGATGTAGAAGCTGTAGCAAGTTATCCAGAAGATCTAGCCATGATAATTAATGACTAGAGATATGGCTACGCTAAACAACAAATCTTCAATGTGGATGAAACAGCCTTCTGTTGGAAGAAGATGTCATCTAGGACTTCCACAGCTAGAGAGGAAGAGTCAATGCCTGGCTTCAAAACTTCAAATGATAGGCTGACTCTCTTGTTACGGGCTATGTAGCTGGTGACTAAATTGAAGCCAGTGCTCATTTACAATTCTGACAATCCTAGGGCCCTTAAGAATTATGATAAATCTACTCTGCCTATACTCCATAAATGGAAAAACAAAGCATGAATGACAGCGTATCTGTTTATAAAATGGTTTACTTAATATTTTAAAGCCCACTATGAGAACTACTGCTCAGAAAAAAAAGATTCCTTTTAAAAGATTACTGCTCAATGACAATGCATTTGATCACACAAGATTTCTGATGGAGATGTACAAGATTAATGTTTTCATGCCTGCTAACACAATATCCATTCTGTAGCTCATGGGTCAAGGAGTAATTTTGACTTTTGAGTCTTATTAATTAAGAAATACATTTCATAAAGCTATAGCTGCCATAGAAAATGATTCCTCTGATAGATCTGAGTAAAGCAAATCAAAACTTTCTGGAAAGGATTCATTATTCTAGGTGCTACTGAGAACATTCGTGATTCATGGGAGGAGGTCAAAATATCAACATTAATAGGAGTTTGGAAAAAGTTGATTTCAATCCTCATGGATGACTCTGAGGGGGTTCAAGACTTCAGTGGAGGAAGTATCTGCAGATGAGGTGGGAACAGCAAAAGACTAGAATGACAAGTGGAGCCTGAAGATGTGACTGAATTGCTGGAATCTCATGATGAAACCTTAACAAATGAGGAGTTTCTTCTTATGGTTGAGCAAAGAAAGTAGTTTCTTAAGATGAAATCTATTCCTGATGAAGATGCTGTGAAGACTGTTGAAATGACAACAAAGGATTTAGAATACTCCATAAACTTAGTTGATAAAACAGTGGCAGGGTTTGAAAGGATTGACTTCAAGTTTGAAAGAAGTTCTATTGTGGGTAAAATGCTTTCAAACAGCAACACATGCTACATGCTTCCTTTCATTTGTGAAAGGAAGAGTCCATTGATGCGGCAAACTTCACTGTTGTCCTATTTAAAGAAATTGCCACAAGGGCGCCTGGGTAGCTCAGTTGGTTAACCATCTGACTCTTGATCTTACCTGAGGTCATGACCTCAGGGTTGTAAGATCAAGCCCCTGGGATTGGCTCCATGCTCAGCAGGGAGTCTGCTAAAAATTCTCTCTCTCCCTCTATCTCTGCCTCTCTCCCTGCTTGCACTCACTTGTGTGCCCTCTCTCTAAAATAAATAAATAAAAATCTTAAAAAAAAAAAAAGTAATTGCCACAGCCACCCCAGCCTTTGGCAACCGCCACCCTGATCAGTCAGCAGCCATCAATATGGAGGCAAGACCCTCCACCAGCAAAAAGATTATAGCTTGCTGAAAATTCAGACGATGGTTAGTATTTTTTAGCAATAAAGTATTTTCAAATGAAGGCATATACATTTTTTTTAGACATAATGCTATTGCAAACTTAATAGACTACACTATAGCGTAAGCATAGCTTTTATATGCACTGTGGAACTAAAAAATTCATTTGATTTGCTTTATAGCAGTGGTTTAGAATACCTTCAAAGTATGTCTATATATCCTGGCAAAGAGATGATTGTGATTTGAAATATGGTGGTGATATCGGAGATAAGAGAAGAGAAAAGATGGGAGAGATAAGAGATACTAATGGGGGAAACCCATGAGAGCTAGTGTTCTACTATTGAAGAGAGTGAAAGAGAGGGAGGATCCCTGGAAGCTCTCAGAACTCGGCAATATTCAGCTAGGCAGATGGATATTCCACTTGCTGAGAAGGGAAACAGTACAAGACAAACTGATTTGGTGTTGAGAAGATTCAAAAGTCAGTCTTGAACATATTAATTTTGATCTCATTATTTTGATCTCCATGAGACATGTTAGGTAGGTGATTGGATATTTGAGTCTGGTCAATCTTTAGACTTGCTGCAGCAGAATCACTTGGAACTTTTGATTATCTGACTCCACCTCAGGCCTAATATACTGGAATCTGCAAGAAGACATAGCCAATGTAATACCTTGAGGTTAGATGCAGTGGAAAAAATTCAGTCATCACTTGATAGTTGCCCTAGTTAACATTTAAGCTCCTTGAACATGCTGAATGCCTATAATGTTATGAATAGAAAGACAGCCAGACCAAGTACTAAATCTGTTATTATGTTCTAAGAGTAAATGTGCTGGACAAACCATGAAATGCCTCTGAAGGAAGACAGCCATATACAGATTCTTCTATTTACATTTCCATATTTGTATCATATGGTGCTGCCACCTTGGCCACAAACTAATTGATCCAGGTACCAGGCCCTAAAAGGCAACCACCCAATGATTCCAGTGGTCACGGAGATGATCTTTCTTAAGAATCCAGCCCAACTGATGCATCATTCTGGATGGTAATTCATTTACCAAATCATATTTTTCTCTTTGACCAGAGGGGAGAGGAGTGAGAAAAATTAAAACTAGAAAAACAGAAGCATTGGATAAGTAGACCTGGACATGTCTCTGTTTGCTGAAACCTGGTGGAGACATAAGTACCACTGTTAATGAAAGAGAAAAACTAAATGTACTTAAGAGATAGACTAATCTGTCCATGCATTAATTGAAACAGAAATAGTTGGGATGTAGCATCTCTCCCCTCTTGCCACTTTGGTTTCTATACCTGGTAATTCCTCACAACTGAGCAAAGGAAGGGAGAAGGAAGAATTTTGGCCAGTTTGTTTTTGTTTCGTTGGTTTTGTTGTATTTTGTTTTGTTCACTAACCAGTTATTTGCTAGGTCTTTCAAGAAGTCCTCCTTGGCCTTTCTGTAGAGTAATTTTTTTAGAACTATTAATCACATCTGTTGCTGCTTTGCTCTCCTAGCAAAAAAATTTTTTTATACTCAGTAATGTATAATGATGTTCCACTGCATTTTGAAGAAAATTACACATTTCAGAGCCATTGTATTATTGTATTTAGCATCTCAATAACATTTCCTTTGCTAATTCATCTTTCTTATGATTGATTTCTTAATGTGCCCACAATGCACCATATGTTACCATAGCTTAATTTTGTCTTGAAATATTCATTTCTAGCTCTTGTGGACAGGTAGACTGAATAAAATATGTGGATTTGGCTTTCTCTATCTCTCTCTCCCTTTTTTTAATCAGAAGCAGGAGATTTACCCAGGTATTTACTGGTTATAAATGAGGACCTAAGTGGCTTGTAATAACATCCTGGTAGCCTCTTGAAAGAATTACTGTGCTTTCCCAAGCCTTTAACTCATGACCAAACTGTCACTGAACAGCCATCTTGGAGAGATAGACAGTAGTAAAGTAAGGTCACATGTGAAAATATGCAATATGACTAACTTCCCTAAATGTTAGGATCCCACATTCTTATGATATTTGAGAGCTAAATATAATCAAAGCTCTTGGGGCTTTGATTTTAAGAATTTCCTTTAAAAATAATATTATTCTCTGAGGACATGAGAACAGTATTACTTTATTTAGTTAAGCCATCCTAAAATAGAACAGAGGAAATTATTAAATTGTGAACATATATCTTTTACTGTTGCCCATTCATGCCAAAACTGATGTGTCTTAAAAGTACAAGATGACTTACAATAGGAAATAGATCTTCAAATGAGTATATTAATCTTTGGAGAGGGAAGCCTGATACTCTCAATAATTACCCTGGAAATACAGTACAATACTGATGACTGTGTTATTTACTGCAGTCTTACAAACAAACAAACAGGGTATTTTATAGCTGCACAGGAAGGAAGTTTACTGAAAGTAGTTATTAATGTGTCCATTTATATTTCACCTCCCTGAAAAAAAGCCTCAAATCTAGAGAGAATACAGAGTGGAAAATTTCACTCCCAATTTAGACATCTCTCCAGACTCCAGAGGAAACTGCTCAGCTGGCCTCTCTTGTAGTAGAAACTGAGCTTGATGAGCCACTGGGCCAACGGCCCAAGTGACAGACTGGAACAGGAGCTACTGGACCGAGCACACTCTGCCTCATGTCAGGAACGTTTTTGTGTGAGAAATAAAAGAAGCCTTCCCTGGAACTGGTGTCAGTCAAAATTCTGACACACTTAGATGTTCTTTTAGCAGTTCCAGTTTTGGGGGAGAAATCTGGGAAAATGCCAGGATCTGAGCTAGCATTTTTAGTTGTTATTTGAACAGCTGTTACATGTATGGCTAATCACTGTTTCATTGGGTTTCTTAGAGCTATTCTTGACATAAGGCAATGAGGCAACACTTTACACTAAATATGCTCCAAATTCAAGTTATTCAACTTTTTATAAGCTAAGAAAAAAAATGGCAATGGTCTGGCACCACTGTCAAGGGTAATTAGGGATTCTGGAAAGATCCCTTCAAAGAAAATATGTGAGGAAGGGTAAAAGAAAAATCTTTGTCATTATTTTGGAAAATGAGAATTTCCAGACTGAAATTCTGAGACATCTCTAGTTATTCCTTTTTCAGCTACCTATTTTACTCTTGATGAAACTAAGTTTTAAATGGGTAAAATATCTTATTGAAAGTCACATTATCAAGTTGTAGAGCTAAGACTAGATCAAGCTTATAATCAAGCATATGGTCAATGAAAAGAGACAGCCTGCCAGCCATGAACTCAACACTCAGAGCAACCCGAAACAGTACCTGAACAGTACCTTTCATGGCCGGTGGTGTGTACACGCTCTGCTTCCTTTGCTTTGGGGATGCATTTTGTGACTGTGGACAAAGAGAAAAGAGGAAAAGCATTATTTGAGTAAAAATTAGCCCTGTGAGGGAAACAAACACTGTGCCATATTTCAAAGAGCTTTCTAATTCCCCCTGTTATGACATACAACTCAAATCAATGAGAAATTATACACATGTTCGCTGACAGCACAGTTTTAAGAGATATATAAAGCAATTTCATCATACAACTCTTTATCACAGTCCTGAAATTACTCTTTTTCTCACCTAGTAGCATTCATTTATTTTTAAAAGAAAGAGAGAAAGAGACAACAATCCCTTTTGTTTGGGAGAAAAAACACAACTGCCAGAACAATGTATACTCCAGAAAGTATGTCCATGGGATAACTATACCTGCTCAAAGGATTTTTGAGTGGTTCTGGATAGATAATGAGGGTTTGGGTACGTAACATCAATTTATAAACTTCTGGAATTGACATGTTCAATCTAACATCTCCATTTACTTGGAATTAGTGTTGAGATAATATTCTCTTCTATTTTCAACAGATAAATCAGTCCTTTCCTAACAAAACTGCTGTGTAACACTTACCTACATATACTAGATCAGGACTGAATTACTGAAGAGAGAATTTTTGCATTAAAAATTACAAAAATTGGAACATAGAAACATATTTCATGGTTAAAACCACAAACTAATCATATATATGTGAATATGTAAATAGTATTATTTATTATGGTAAAATACATATATATGGTCTATACTCCAATCAGAATATGTCAAAGATTCCTTTTTAATAGTGTGTTGATTTATGTTTCAATGTGGCAAAGGCAGTGGTCTTAATCAATGAGTTTTTGTGCCTCGATCATTTTTGCTTTGAAAAGGTTAGGTATAAGTAGTTACAAGACTCTTTTTGGGAATTATTCTAGGCAAAACTAGAAACTGTTTCATTGACAGTACACAGAATTTGAGGTATCTTCCCTTGTACATACTAAAGCTTATTTGCCTTCAAAAGTATCATCAAGATAGACATTTACTTGATGCAAAAACAATACATTAAAAAGTAAAAAATTTCAACCAATAGTTGTCAAATCCATATCAGCCAAACATATGGTACAAGCAAATTTCTCCAAAATAGAATGTTTCAGTACCACCAGTTCATTATGCACAGGTATAGACAGAGCGACTCTATATTAATGTTCAATGTGTGGACGATTGATATTTCTGATGTTCCTTTACTGTATTCAGTCTCATCTGGTTGATTTGAAGAAGCAATCACTTTTGGAATTTCTCATATTTATTTCCATATACACATTCAAAGATCAAGTGGAAAATTAATCCTACAGAAAAGTTTGTTTAGTACCATGTAGTAAAACTTCTTAAGCAATAAAAACTGCTTTATATGTATGTAAGAGTTCAGTTGTCAAAGCATTTTCACATACACAATCTCATTAAATTTTTAGAAAAGTCTTAAGAGATACTATTTGGTATTTTGTTCTTTCTACATTTTCCTCTGGGTATTGTATTGCTCTATGCCTAACTAATGCAGCCATGGGAATTGACTTGTATGTCTGCACACTAGTCAATATTAGTTCTATTTCTGAGCATAAGTTTACTCGCTTCCTTGTATTCAATATATTTTATATTATCAGCTCCCCTAGCCTCCCCTGGTTCCTATTTGTGTATGTGAACCTCTGACCTCAGGGTCTGCTCTTGGCTTCACATTCCAGAAGACCCTTTAAGAGGTGCCTGCTTCCTATCTTCTTGCTCCAGGATTCCAACAGTGGCTGGCCCTAGCCTGTAGTTGGTCATAAACAACTAGTCACTAAATTGAAAGTATCAATACTGTATCTTATCACTAAAAGCAATGGTTTATTTTACAAGTTTTTTCAGGGGTTGGCATTTCATAGGTTGAGAACCAAAGTAGCACAGAGGCAGAGATTTAATGACCCCATTTTACTGTTTCTTCAGTCAGGAAAAGCAAACTAGTTCTTATATCAATTGTCTTGACATATTTTATAAAACATTAAACCAACCTAATTATGTTTTTAATTGATTTGAACACCTATTTATACAAAATATAAGGAAACTTACTTCGGCTTGGGTGTTGGTCACCCTCTTGTCATCTATTTCTGCAAGAGAAGTAGATATATTTCATTAGAAAGGTGGTTTCTTCTTTATAATATGCATATTAACATTTTCAACAATTTGATAAAAAATAATTTAATAATCACCTTGTGTTTTTTTTTTAAGATTTTGTTGATTTATTTGACAGAGAGAGAGAGAACACAAGCAGGGGGAGCGGCAGGCAGAGGTGGAGGCAGAGGGAGAAGCAGACTCCCCACTGAGCAGGGAGCCCGACGTGGGGCTCAATCCCAGGACTCTGAGATCATGACCTGAGCCTAAGGCAGACGCTTGGCCACCCAGACGCCCTGCCTTATGTTTATATAACATCTGTGGCTAAGGTAAAGGGAGACAGAAGGAGATGGTTTCCTTCTGAGATAATCTTTTCCCTAAGTTTTAAAAAAGGCAGGGGGAAAAAAAAAGGCATCTGTCTTGAAATTCCAAATTGCCCTCCTTCCAGTAATCCAGAAAGGAAACCAGGGAAATGGCCCTTGAATCAACTATTGCTGTCGTCAACCTCACAGTGTTAAGGCATAAATAATCTCCTCTGTGGATTTTGCTGCCAGTCTACTCACTGTAGCTTGACAAATTTCCTCAAGTTGGCCACTAAGCTGAACAAAGCTCCTTTTCCATTCTGCCCAATCACTCTGACTCTGAAAGTGGCAGCAGCCTCTTTTCCATAGGCCCATGGAAAGGACCAGTTACTCTGAAAGAAATATTTCTTATGACAAACCTAGGGAAACGTGTAGGCTGTCTGTATAAAAAAGAATGTAAGGAGGCAGAGACAGGAGGAAGAGGAGCTCACATACTGCCTTTCAATGGGTGGAGGACCTCTGGGCTGAATTTCTTTCATACCTCCTCATCTACTTTACATGGATCTTGACATTTTTAAAAATATTTAGATGTTTAGTTGACTTCCTTAAAACATCTGTCCCTCTCTCATCTGTACTGCAGAGGCTGGGTTTCTCAACGTTTCAAAAACTAGGACTTGGAGGGGCACCTGCATGGCTCAGTCAGTTGATTGTCCCAGTCTTGATCTCAGCTCAGGTCTTGATCTCAGGGTCATGTGTTCAAGCCCCAAGTCGGGCTTCACCCTGGGCATGGAGCCTACTTAAAAAAGAAAAAAATAGGACTTGGAGACTCTCTTCTCCAACCAAACTGCAGCCAGATGTTGTGCAATCCCCTGACTGCCAGGTGCCAGGGATTACTGCAGCATCACCACTACTGGAGGTGGTCAATGTGGGTTCCCACTTGGGGCCCCTGGGCAGGGGTGGGGGGTAGTTGTTCAAGTTTGCAAACCACAAAGCTATCCTATATTACCAAAGCCATCTGACTTTAATTCTCCTGAAACATCCAGACATGCAGAACCTAGAGCTCCTTTGTCTCCTACCTTTTAAAATGTTCACAGGCTTTGCAGTTACCCTAGCCAGCAATTGTAAGAAACCCTGCCCCATGCTGGGTTTCTTACTCCTGACTAGCCCTCCCGCCCCTGTGAGGAGGCAGTCTGGCGCTGGCTGACACACTGGCGACTGCTAATCTCAGGGAACACAGGACAGTGGTAGGAACACTAACCTGGTTTTCTACAGCAGGCTGAGTTTAACGTTCCTGCACTTCATCCTATTTCTCGCTGCAATGGTGAAGGTAAACCTTTTATTCCACTGAGTGGCACATTTAATACTGAAGGCTGGAAATTGATCTGTGCTCCGTGGCATTAAATTTGTTCAAGTTTAACAGAAAGGTCCTACACTTTGCACCGCTTGTGAAATTTGGCACTAAATTCACACCCAAGAAACGTGCCTCAACACGGGCTCTGTCTAGAGCTCGCGATCTGGGTGGGATTTCGGAGGGCCTCTATCAGAAGAACCCAGATGTTCTGCACAGGCGTGTGTCTTCACTCCACAACGCAGCCGGAGGGCTTGAGAGTCAGCCGGTTAGTAAATCACCCGGAGCCGCCACTGTAGGCTTCCCGTGGAACAACTAGAAGCGACACCGAGGATGTCTTCTAGCTTCGCATAGCTGATGAGTGTGCACAGCTCCAGGGCAGCTTTCTGGAACGGGTCGCCAGCACCTGCCTCCCCGCATTCTCGAAGATCACAGGCCTGCACTCCAGGTTCAGCATGAGCATGGACATGAGCCGCGCCTTGGTTCGCTCCAGCGCCACCACCCCCACATTCCAGCCATTAAAATGAATTTCTTCGTGATGATTTCCACCCTTTCTCGAACCTGTCCAGGGTCGGCCCTGGCGTGGACGCACAAGAGGTCCGTGTCCCTGTAGCTGAGGGCGGGGGGGTGGGGGGGGCGGCCTGGGGGGCGCTGTGCTGTACACCCGGTGGTGCCTGTTGAGCACGCTGACGTTGAGCCTGGCAAATACTCCCGTGCTGGGCCGCCGGGTGAGAAGGAGCCGCCGCCTCCCAACCTGTTCTGCACAGGAAGGGATGAAATCTTCCTCCAAGAAGTAACAGCTCTCCAGTCCTATCCTGACGTGCGTGAGCTCAGGGAATGGGGCAGGGCCCAGGCTAACATCGGACAGGTCGTTTTCCAGCCTGGCAACCTCTCCCCGTGGACACTGATCTGTCCACGTCTTCAGCCTCCTCACAGGCCCAGGCGCGGCGGGTTCCCAGGAGGTACTTCCTGGCGCGTTCCACCAGGTGCGCATGCTCCGACCCATCCCAGCCCACGCCGTGGGGTCTGGGGTGTATTTAGTAGTTTGTGAGGAATGAAGTACTCGTCCATCTATCTTCGCTGTATTTTCTGTGGCGCAGAAACAGTGGAGACCCACTGTGTTCTCCCGCTGAGCGGCCCTAGGAATCACCTCGGAGAGAAGCGGTTCTGGGTCAGGCCGCCTATGGAGGGCCTCCAGCTCAGACGGACATTGCGCGTCTTGTCCTGTCTTCCCCTGTGAGCCTGGGGTGCGGGACGGCGGCAGCAAACCCGCCGCGGTGCGCCGGCCTTTACAGTCAGCAGACGCGGTGCACGAGGCGCTCTCGACGCCTGGCTGACACATAGAATAGCCTGCGCTTTTCCAAGGTAAGCAGAACTTCTTTGCTCAGATCCATCGGTAGGAAAATGCCAGTTTCTCCACTAAGATGTTTTGCCTCATATCGCGATTCTGAATTAATAAGAATTCCTACCGTACAAAATTGTCCACACTGGTTTGGGGATGCCACCCGGAAGCGCGTTATCCAGTGTGGTTACTTCAGTTTCAAACTTTTCCTGTCCATCCACTGTGGCCAAAACGGGCGTGGGCACTGCGGGTAAGGGTGAAGAGAGCGGGGGTACGGGGAAAAGCACCGCTGCTGCTGAATTGGCTGTGCGCGGGCTCCAGGGCTGGCCTCCCGCGGCGCCCTGGCGGCTCTGCCTCCCCGACCCTAGCCGCCATGGGGAGCGGGGGCGGGACGGGGGTCTCCCCGCCTCTTGACTTATTGGCCCAGTTACCCTTTCCTGACTCTGAGGTGAGTGCCAAAGCTGAGAGACTGAGCCCGTGGTCCAAAAACTGAACGAGCAGTTCATCAAAGAGTAACTCCCTAAAGACAATGATACAGATCTGCATTTATTGACATGAAGGCATATACTGTATAAATTAAAAGGATTTCAAAACTATAGGTATGGTATTTTTATTTCATAAAGTATAGATAAACTATCTGGAGAGAGATGATAGAGAAATGAATGTATAGTCATAGAAGGATATATTCAGTATCTTAACTGTAATTATCTCTCGATGATTGAATAACTCATTCCATCTTCTCTCTCCCTGTACTGTTTTTTTTTCTAGTGAACATGCATTACTTTTATAATGAAAAACTATATGTATCGTGTGGATATATAGAAACACGTATATGTAGTGAAATTTCTGTGTAAGTCCACAGTGCAGAGAGTTGATATTTCATATAGTAAGAAACCAAAATAGACAAGCAGCAAAAAATAAATAAATAAGTTTAAAAAATAAAAATAAAAAAATAGACAAGCAGAATGAATAGTATATAGCACTATTGTTTATTTTAATCTTATATCTTGATTACTAGATTTTTAGAAGTTATGGAACCTTCTAATGAATTTCCCCTCCCTTGTATAGGGGTAGGCAAACAGGAAGTATTGGCTGAGGACAGCAATCACAATTATTTGATATAATCACTGGAAGTATCTGGGTGATTATCAGATAGCTGTGAATATATTGAATTGAGCAATTCTATCAATGCAAAATCTTTTGCTATCATCTTTTAAGTAAATATCAAATATGATCCACTTAACAATGCATGTATTCTAATCCATTGGATCATTAAATGCCAGTGGTGTTTCTTTTTTTTTTTTTTAAGATCTACTTATTTATTTTAGACAGAGAGCACAGAGGGGAGGGGCAGAGGGAGAGGAAGAGAGAAACTCAAGCGGACTCCACCCTGAACGGGGAGCCCACTCAGGGCTCCATCTCAGACCCTGAGATAACGACCTGAGCTGAAACCAAGAGTTAGAGGCTTAACCCAATATGCCACCCAGGCACTCCAATCAGTGGTGTTTCTTAATATTTAATTTATGCCCTAGGAGTTTTCAGAATTCAACCCAGGACTCAGAACCTATTATTTTAAGAACAAAATGGTGTCCAGTCATTCAGCCTTGTGCTTTCCTACTTTCTGACTATAACACACACTAAAACAGTGTCTTTCCAAGGCAACTGTGTAGACTTCACTCATTGCTTAATTCAATGAAAAAGGTTTTTATTCTTCTTGGTTAGTTTTTCTTATTAATATTTGTCTTGAACTGATTAGGTTAGCCAGATATAAAGCCTTTTTAAAAAACATGGAATTTTGTTTTATATTATAAGCCTGTTTTGCCTAACTCCAAAATAGCTTATATTTCTTCTCTACTCTGAGTTTTTGGGAAGTATCAAAGAAAGAAACATAAATTACATTTTGTTTAGAATTCAAACATATGTTTTTTTTCCACTTCACTCATTGGAGACTTGTTCTAATTAACTGAAAGAAATTTAGTCTATTTAGTCACCTGACAACAAAAT